CACTGTTCAACAGTGGAACTCTCTGCCTCATGGGGCCATGGGATCCAATGACAGGAAAGGAGGCTCCAATGACAGGAAAGGAGGACGTTCTTCCACTTGGTGAGGAAGAACGTCCTGACTATAAACACTGTTCAACAGTGGAACTCTCTGTCTCCTGGAGCCATAGGTTCCAGTGACAGGAAAAGAGGCTCCACTTGAATTGGCGAGGAATAATTTCCTGACCATAAACACTGTTCAACAGTGGAACTCTCTGCTTCATAGAGCTATGGGTTCCTATGACAGGAAAGGAGGCTCCACTTGAATTGGCGAGGAAGAACTTCCTGACCATAAACACTGTTCAACAGTGGAACTCTCTACTTCATAGAGCCATGGGTTCCAATGAAAGGAAAGGAGGCTCCACTTGAACTTGGTGAGGAAGAACTTCCTGACCATAAACACTGTTCAACAGTGGAACTCTCTGCCTCAGAGTCCAGCACAGGCTTTTAAACGGAGGCTGGATGAGTTGTTGTAGGGTTTTTTGGGCTATATGGCCATGTTCTAAAAGCATTCTCTCCTGACGTTTTGCCTGCATCTGTGGCAGGCATCCTCAGAGGTTGTGAGATCTGTTGAAAACTAGGAAAATTGGGTTGATATCTCTGTGGAACGTCCAGAGTGAGAGAAAGAAGTCTTGTCTGTTGCAGGGAGGTGTGAATGTTTTGCTCTTCTCCGCACTCACATGTTGTGGATTCCACTTTGTGGCCCCATTTCTTGAGGTTGGCTCTGCATCTCGTGGTGCCAGAGCGCAGTCTGTTCAGCGCCTTCCAAGTCGCCCAGTCTTCTGTGTGCCCAGGGGGGAGTCTCTCATTTGGTATCAGCCATTGGTTGAGGTTCTGGGTTTGAGCCTGCCACTTTTGGACTCTCGCTTGCTGATGTGTTCCAGCGAGTGTCTCTGTAGAGCTTAGAAAACTATTTCTAGATTTAAGTTGTAGACATGCTGGCTGATACCCAAACAAGGGATGGGCTGGAGATGTCACAGCCTTGGTCCTTTCACTATTGGTTGCTACTTCCTGGCGGATGTCAGGTGGTGCAATACCAGCTAAGCAGTGTAATTTCTCCAGTGGTGTGGGGTG